AGATGTTTATCCTGTATTTGATGAAATAGGATATGGATGAAATCGGATAGGGATAAAATCGTTTAGGGATGAACGGGTTTAGGGATGGCTTTAACAGGTTGTACCATTAGCAATAGATGTTGTCTTTAAGAGTTTTAAGAGTTTAAGAGTTTTTAAGAGTTTTAGGCAAATGCTTTATAATATAGTATAGATATAATATAGATTATATGATTATCTAGAATTATTATTAATTTTATCATATATTTTTATATTTTATATATAACCAAAATGTTAGATGGATGCTTTATGATTTTTTCCATAAAATTCGTAAAGTATAGTATGGTCCAAATTCTCACCATTTGATGAGGCTTCATTCCATAAAATTCATCAAGTATAGTTTGGTCCAAATTTTCACCATTTGATGAGGCTTCATAAAGGAGCTGTTTGTTAAATACCGGTAAGTGTTTACCGAATAAATTTTCTCATCGGATGAACATGAAAAGGTCAAAAAATCTTATCGAGTAAGAACAATAAGAAGGATGGAGAGTCTTACCCGGTAAGTGAGGATGAAGCGCTTACACACTAAATTGTTGCATTCGATATGTTTTGATATACTAAAATCTTACGCATCAAAATAAATCATAGTGTTGACTCCTATCGATAAGCGCTTACTGAGTAAACAATTGGGTAAACGGCCCCTAAGTCATTCATGTTGTCTTACTATCGATAAAATGATTTGAACTACTTATTGGGGATTTTATCCCCTTTCACCCAACATTCATTATGAGTATAATTAGAGGTGCGTCCTTCTCGTTCCTCTTGTACTAGAAAAAGGTTAATGAAACCAACTCTAGAGTGTTAAAAAATTAAAAAAACACACTTTATGAATTTATAGAGGAAAACAAAAAATAATAAATAAATAAATAAAAGATTTAAAAAAAGAATATTTAATTTTCCGCGTAAGGAAAGAAATCCGGTTGCCAACCGAAATTGACCAGGGGCAATCGTGGACCAAAATGCTAAATAAAAGAAAAATCAAATAAATTTGAAAAAGTTACATACATACCCATTCATCTCCAGCTCCACTTCGCTGTTTTCTCCGATCTCCGGTCTTCACTTCAATCGACCAGAATGTGCGGGATTTTTGCCTACTTGAATTACGATGTCAGCAGAGAGAGGCGCTACATCCTTGAACTACTCTTCAATGGACTCCGTCGTTTGGAATACAGAGGTTACGATTCCGCCGGTATCTCCATTGATTCTTCCTCATCATCTCATAACGACTCCCCTCTTGTCTTTCGTCAAGAAGGAAACATTGAATCCCTAGTCAAATCTGTCTACCAAGGTATTATTTCCTTACAAAACAAAACAATACCCTAGAACTAGCATTTGATCTGCCCCAAAATCACCACTTTCTGCTTTCTAGGAATTATGTTTAGTTTTCAATTTTCCATGCCCAATGGTTTATGCAATTGACTTTATGATTAAGGGTGCGAACATGCATACAAGCCCAAGAAAGTAGGATGGTTTGCTTGTATTGATGCAAAGAAAACTAAGCTATTCATCGAAGAAGATATGGTTAATCCTTTTCAAAACGTTCAAGTAAGACCTAGTGTTATTTGGCAAATACATATCTAAGGATTTGAAGTAGACATAGCCTCTCAAGATAGCAGTCAATTCTGAAAATTGATGTTATAATTGTCATTGTGTTATAAGAATATAGTGTCGACCAAACCCTTTTAACTCAGGGGTAGAGTAATGCTGTCCTAAGGCGTAAGCCTACGGTTCAAATCCTATAAGGGGTTTTTGTATTCTTTTCTGTTGATAGCATTTGAAAGAAGAATCAATAGTGATATTACTGATAGTAACAAAAAAGTGACAAATGAGCATCTTTTATTTCATAAAAAGTTGGGAGCAATAGTTCACATTATTACTCAGAATGCTTATGGCATGCTGTCTGTGATCTTATAATAACAATGACCCTAAAATTTTGTCGAAAAAGAGTCCTCTTTGGTAGAATCGTATTACATTAATCACCTTCCGAATACATGCAGAGGTCTCTGCTACCGACCTAAATCTGGAAGAGTCTTTCTCTGTTCATGCTGGAATAGCACACACCCGGTGGGCAACCCATGGAGAACCAGCTCCAAGGAATAGTCATCCTCAGTCATCTGGTACTGGAAATGATTTCTTGGTTGTTCACAATGGAGTTATCACCAATTACGAGGTCTGCTTATGATTATGAATAGAAATTTGATTTTTGTATGAAGTATTTACATATTGCTTCAAAATATTGATTTTTACACCCAGCGACATTTCTTGTCTTATTCTTTTTCCCAACTTGTATGAACTAATGATTTTTAAGTTTTGATTGTAATCCTGGGTCCTTGATGCACATAGCCACCGTTTTTGGTTGGCTTTATTTGTATTTGGCTCTATTAGTCTTTCAGTTTCTCCAATACTACTGCCGTTGAGTATACCTCAATTCCCATCGTGAGAATGGAGCTAACTCCATGTCGGAGTTGGAATGACTAGGAAATTGTTAGCAAATGATTTTTCCTTGATGCATACTATTGCTGCATATATAATTTCTGTTTATATGCTCTATCTATGGCAATGGTTGTATGATTTCTTAAAATTATATGTTCCTAGTTACTTTTTGGGCATATGATAATCTTTCTTTCATAAATGCTGCAGGTGTTAAAGCAATCTCTCCTTCGACATGGGTATACTTTTGAATCTGAGACTGATACGGAAGTGATCCCGAAGCTTGCAAAATTTGTTTTTGACAAAGCAAACGAAGGAGGTACTTAAAGTCCTTAATTATAAAATGAGTCTGACATAATGCATTGGTTGTATTATTCTTGAGAAGTTAGTGACTATACTCTGCCATCTTTATCTTCAGCATGGGAGCATTTCTAGTTGCCCCTTCAATAGCTGTGTAGGGCAAAAAAAAAATAGATCCTTTAACAAGCTTTGAACAAGATATGCCACTGGAGAATAAAACAGCTTCCTATGAAGTTTGGTATTAAGTGATTGAGTGGCAGAAAGTGGGAGACATAAAAAGGGGTAGGATGTGTGATAGTTCGAGGTTTAGTATAAGATGATGGGCATGTATTTTAGAGCTGTTCTGGGGCTGTGGATAGTGTTTAACTTTCTAAACATTTCTGAGATTTCTGTCTTGAGACTTTGAAGAAGGGAAGAGTTTCAGGTTGTATGTACTTTGGCTATTAAGGATGTCAAGGCATACTTCAGGGGATGTGCAAAAGTGCAGATGTTAGAAGGTAGAAGTAGAAATTAGAGCTTTGAAGCCTAGTAGCCCTTTCCTGTTGTCAGAAGTGGGCCTTTCTCATATATTTCATCTGCATACACAGACTACACCTAGCCTTCATACATCCTACCTTTATTTATAGGAAGCCAACAGATTCTGATATTGACAATGTCATCAATACTTCAGATATTGAATCTTATAGTTAAAAGTCTCGGATTTTCTCATATTGTACTGCAATCAATGCCTTGGTTTATAAATATTCCAAACATATACTCGTATTCTTATAACTCTCAGATAATAGAATGCCAGTTATCTTATGGTGTCTTCCATCTTCATCATGTTGGGAAAATGAATCTGATTTCTTTATATGATTCGATGGTCTCCTCTCTAAATCAGGGCCATTCCTTAGCATGTTAAAAGTGGGATTTTGAAGAGGCAAATTTACATGCGTTTTGAGTCGTTCATCAACATGTGTGAAGCCTTATCTATAACCTTAGGTTCAGATGACCAGATTGTTAATTGTTTAGGTTTGGCCCTTTTCTACGCTTAACATTTTGCAGTATAATCAAAAGCTTTGGATGTAACAGGGTCTACAAAAAAATTGGAACGTCCATGTCTAAATAAATGCACATGTTGCATGCCTATTTGCTACTTTGTCGTGCTGCGTCATGTGATCTTGACATTCCTTTTAGCTAGTCCATTCTCTGACCTTGCTTTTTACTGATCGCTCAAGATTTAATTACCAAGGAAGGACTGTAGAACTTGGTTTTTCTGGGTTTCCCTTCTTATATTCTTTTTCAGTAAATGATCTAGATGATTTTTGTCATCCTCTAGTGGGTTGTGTCAAAATAAGCTTGAGCATCATCAGGTCTAAAATTTGTCCTATGTTTTCTCTCATTTGATTAGGATGATACAGCTAAAATTTTCCACAGGATCTCATGAACAGTTTAGGGTGTAGACTTTTTGTTTAAGTGTAGCGCACATAAGTGTCTCTTGCACCATTTAAAGTTGAATGAATTCGTACTGCTGCAGGTGATCAAACTGTCACGTTCAGCGAAGTTGTGCTCGAGGTTATGCGGCATCTTGAAGGAGCCTATGCACTTATTTTTAAAAGCAGACATTATCCAAACGAATTGATTGCTTGCAAACGTGGTAGTCCGCTGCTTCTCGGTGTGAAAGTAGGTTATGCTTGAAACACATGGATTGTAGCAACCTAAATCTCTTGTTGTTTAGAATGCATACAAAATAATATTTATTATTGTTACTAATTTAACTACAATTTTAATTTTTTTTTTGCACTGGTAGCGACTAGTAAGAAATGAATTTCATCTGCAGGAATTCACTGAAGGACAGAACAAAGGATCATCTTATAATGATATGAAATTTATTTCAAAAAATGGTCACCCTAAAGAACTTTTCCTATCTAGTGATCCTCATGCCCTTGTTGAACATACAAAAAAGGTCTTGGTGATTGAGGATGGTGAAGTTGTCAATATTAAGGTATATATTCCGTAATCATTTGCAATAACCAGCTATCATATTTGCTTCATATGTTATTTGGTATTCTAAATTGCTTTCTTCAATTGAATTTTTCTTTTATAATTGGTGGTATCCTGTTCTCTTTCATATATTGGAAAATTTATGCCTTATATGTCATTCATACTTGTTTGCTTTGCTTAAGAAATATTGCTGGGCTAACTGGAAAATTTTATTTCCAAATGTGTCCATGGTTTCTACAAGTGCTACCTTAATCAGCTGAATTCCCTGGAACTATCTAAACCTAAAATATTGTTCTGAAGTACATGAACAAATAGTGAATATTGTTGATGAACATTGAGATTGGTATGAGAGACGAGGCGTCCTAGTAACAGGGTATGCCTTAGTGGCAGCTTGTGCAGGTTTTTTTTTTTTAATTTTTGTCACACTTATATCATATAATGGTCCATTCGATTTTCTTTTCATGGTTAAAGTCTAAAGATATCGGGAAAGCTTTGATTACATGGATTATTGAATCTTGGGAAAGAGAAGGAATGTATTAAATGTTCCAGGGGAGAGAAAGCCGACATAAAGAAAACTGAAAGAATGCACATTAATAAAATAATCCCAAAATCTGAGTTCCTGGAACATGTAAAAAAATCAAACTTCAAAAGTTAACCAAGAGAAGGGACCAGAAGCATAAACTAAAAATTGCACCCTCAGTATATATAGATTGAAGTATAATAGCACACCTTTGAGTTGTCATTCAAAATCATGAGAATGAAAGAGAAGTAAAAAACTTGTTGGAGACGGAGAATAGCGTGGATGCGCCAGACACACTGGATGGCTGTTGGAAAATGAATGGTGGACACAGGAATAAATTTGCTACTTTTGGGAGACTAGTAGAATTTTTCCACATAGTCAGTGACCCCTGCTTCATGTGCTTGACAGAAGCACAGGAAACAGTTGCAGGATAATTTCCATGAAGTTAAAATAAAAAATGATTTATGGTATGAACAAGCCTCCTACAGTGATTGCAAGGAGATGCACTGGTTTTCCTGCTTCAATTTTAAATGATGTAGGGAATGAGGATCATTTGACTGCTGGAGAGAATCTGACTGATGTTGACAGCTTAGTGAAGGAGGAAGTTGTTGAGCTTCCACTCACTGATATTTCTGTCATAACATAGAGGGTGGGTCTTTCAGTATGCATTAAAATGTCGAAACTCTTGTCTTACCTCTTAAGATGTATGTATTTAATTTACCACACTTAGGGGCTGTTTGGTTGGTTTTCCATCAAGTCCTGTATGGATAAAGCTGTCTGTGTGGATAAATCTGTCTGTCTAGAGTGAGAAGGTTTTTATTTGGGAGGGTTTTTTCATGGATGGAAGGACCGTGTTTTTTTAATTGGGAGGGACATGTTTGCAAAAAACTTGGCTTTCTGCATAAAGCTCCACCCTAGAAGTTTACTGAATAAGCCACTTTCTATATCATTAAGCCACTACCAAACAGTCATGTATAGCTGACCCAATAAGCTGTGAGTCCATTAAGTTGCTAACAAGCAGGCCCTTACTTTATGATGCCAATTAATAAAATTTATTTTTTATTTCTTGGGGAGACTGGAGAGTATATGAATTAATGGTTTGTACTTCAGAAGGATAAGATCTTAATTTCTTATGCTTGGGGAAGAAAACTTAAAAAAATTACAAAGGTGGGAGTATGTGTCTATCAGTGATTCCTTTTTTCTGCTGTGAGTTATGCATGGATTATTGGATTTTTAGTCGAAGATGACTTCAGAATAGTAACAGTTGAAATTTGTTATACGTGTTACGCATTTGTAGGTGAGTCCTTTAACAAGGATAGGTTTTTGAATTTTGTTATAGTTCTTCTCAAAAGGTTTCCAAGTAGGACCGAGTTTTATCTACAAAGAAATGAATGGTTTGGAATATTTTTATTCTTAAGAAAGAGATTATTATCTAAGTTTTTACTTTGGGGATTCACTTTTACTAACTATTATCCCAATTAAGTTTTTGTGTGCTCTTTTCCTGTGTAAATGATACACTTTTCTCTGTACTTGTCACTGGTTTGTTACAGAATTGGAATTTAGAGCAGCTCATGAGTGAGTTACTTGCTATCCCTTGTGGTTAGTAGTTAATCATTCTCTGTAGAACCTTGGTCTTTAGGTTATTAGGTCTCGATTCGTAATGTTTGTAAAACTTCCAAATGATCTTCTGCAGATTCTTTGTCTGTATGTCAAGTCTTATAAGAGGGTCTCAACTGTTAATTTTGAGTGTGATGTGCTAAGCAGCACTTGTTCAAGTGCTGGTAGATTTCTGTTTGTCTTGATTCTAAGCTCATTCTTTTAGATCATTTCCTGAGTCCCTGGCACCATCCTGTTCTTGTAGCACATTGAATGATGCATTTTTTGGTGGCTCTAACTCTGTTATGTGCTCATTTATGAGAATATACAAGTAAACTTTTTTGGTTGTCATTTGTTTCAGGATGGGGGAGTGACAATCCTCAAGTTTGAGCATGGCAAAGGGAGCGATGGAAAATCTCTTTCAAGACCTGCTTCTGTGCAGCGAGCATTGTCCATTCTTGAGATGGAGGTTGAGCAAATAAACAAGGGCAAGTATGAACACTACATGCAGAAAGAGATCCATGAACAACCAGAATCCTTAACCACAACAATGCGGGGCCGGCTTATACGTGGAGGGTCCAGCAAGAGGAAGAGTGTCCTGTTGGGTGGACTGAAAGATCATCTGAAAACTATCAGGAGGAGCAGACGGATTGTTTTTATTGGATGTGGCACTAGCTATAATGCCGCTTTAGCTGCAAGACCTCTATTGGAAGAACTTTCTGGTAAGTGCTTGCTTAATCTGTTATCAGTTAGTTAGTATGTGGTTTGTATTCACTAGCTTCATGCATTGACGACAGGTATACCTGTTATGATGGAGATTGCAAGCGATCTGCTGGATAGGCAGGCGCCAATTTACAGAGACGATACAATAATTTTTGTTAGTCAATCCGGTGAAACAGCCGACACTTTGAATGCCCTTGAATATGCATTGGAGAATGGTGCATTATGTGTCGGCATTACAAATACTGTTGGTAGTGCTATTGCCCGGAATACTCACTGTGGTGTTCATATAAATGCTGGTAGTGAGATTGGTGTGGCGAGTACCAAGGTAGGTCAATTGCTTTTCAGATATATTATTAACCTCATTTGTGTCTTTGTTATCTCATGATCTTCATATTCAGGCATATACAAGTCAAATAGTGGTGATGGCTATGGTGTCTCTAGCAATCGGGGCTGACACGATTTCTAGTAAACCGCGAAGAGAGGCAATAATCGAAAGCCTTCTTAACCTCCCAGGTATGGTCTATGTTATTTCCCATGTACAATGAGATTATATGCTCCCCCCCCCCCCTCTTAAATACTGTGCTGACTAGGTCTGAACCAAACCAAACAAACCTAGTATATCCCACCCGGAGTGGGGTTTGGAAGGGTAAGATGTACGCAGACCTGACCTCTATTCTAAAGGGTGGAGCGGCTGTTTCCTACCAGGTCTGAAATGTATTTTACTAAAATTTCTGCAGGCAAAGTCAGGGAAGTTCTGAAACTTGATCAAGAGATGAAAGATCTGGCACAATCATTGATTTCTGAGCAGTCACTTCTTATGTTTGGAAGAGGATATAACTATGCAACAGCTCTCGAGGGTGCCTTGAAGGTTAAGGAGGTGGCGCTTATGCACAGTGAAGGGATACTTGCTGGTGAAATGAAGCATGGACCACTGGCTTTAGTTGATGAAAACCTCCCCATTGTTGTCATTGCTACTCGTGATCAAAGCTTCAGGTTGGTTTAATGTCAGTTTTCATAAAAGAATGATTGAAGCAGCTCACTTGCAACTTATTTTGCTTTACTGAAATTTCTTTTTCTTTTAACAGTAAACAGCAGTCAGTTATTCAACAACTCAAGGCTCGCAAAGGCCGACTGATAGTGATGTGTACAGAAGGAGATGCAGCAGCTGTATGTGGTGGATCCGGCCGAGTAATCGAGGTTCCTCTAGTTGTGGATTGCTTGCAGCCTGTTGTCAACATAGTTCCATTGCAGGTGATTTAACTTGATGCTCAATACATCTTTCCTGTTTTTCTTTGATTTATTTTGTGTGTGTGTATTTATATAAAATATCATTGCATTCTTTGTATAAAAAATTAGAATCACCTTGTCATTGCATGTATTATGTGTTAATATGTGTTTTGAGTTATGTCATGTATGTTGGATGATCATCCAAGACTCTTGACGCTTATGTTTAGCCGATAGAAAGGATCTTTTCCATCTCCTAAAACGACTTTTATTCCTTTCATACCACATTTTAATCAGTTTATCTTTTATATAAATATAAGATGCTTCCCATATTTGAAATTTCACTTATTCAGAACAGGGGTAAATTGGTTTTAGTAGAACGTGCTCCTTTGATATTCGTATTAGCCACATGTATAAAATTCACCGTATGCTCATCTTTATTCCTGTTACATGTTTGCTCACACTCTTGCAGAAGTCAAGGGGTCTTCACGGAAACAAACACTCTACTCTTTAGGGTAGAGGTCAGGTCTGCGTACATGATGCACCCCCCCCCCCCAAAAAAAAATACCCTGCTTTTGAGTGGGATTTACTGGGTCTGCTTGGTTTGGTTATACACACTATCACCGATTCCCTGCCCTCGAATCCTCTTATAAAATATCTTTAGGCTGGTTGGGAACCATGACATGCTATGAGGTTTTCGACCTCCAGACTTCTCTTAGCCTTGAATCCCTAATGCAATGGTTGCTACAAGGATGGTTACTCCGGCAATTGACCCATCTGGGGACAAGCTGCCCCATCTATGCTATTGCTAGAGCTCGATCTTTAACGGTCATCTAAGGGTGTGATGGAACTTTTTAAATTCTAATGACCGTATGATCTCAGTTCTTGTGATGCCATGATCGGTGTGTAGGCAATTCTCTTGACATTAGCATATCGACTCTTTCTGTCCATCAAGATATGCTAATAGTCTCTGTACATATATGTGATCTGTAAGATGTTGAACAGGCTTTTGAGCTTTTTTTTCTACATGCAGCTATTGTCTTATCATTTAACAGTTCTACGGGGCTACAATGTTGATCAGCCAAGGAATCTAGCAAAGAGTGTGACAACCGAATGAAAATCAATTGCAATGTCCAAAATTCCGTCAACAAAAGCAGATAACAGTTGAACATGCTGAAGGTAACATAGGTGACACTGGATTTTGGGTTCCAATTGATTATTTATGAGGTAGTCGAGTTGTGTTCCTGGGCTATGCTCTGTGTGTTACAGACCGTGGTTATCAGGTTGTAAGAGCGATTTAACAAAGATGAAGGTATTCGTTAGATTTCCATCTCGAAATAGAAATCTTCATCTTATGATTATTTTTTCGTACATGAGGGAGGACTCTCTTATGGTTGATGATCAGGTAAAGTTGACGTGGTCCGCAATGTATATCATAGTCTTTTCCAATGCTTCTCTTTTCGTGTTTATAAGTCGTTTTGGACTGGAATGTTTGAAAACATATGAACATCACACTTGGTATTACTTTATTAACTGATATAACATAATCAGTCGGTTTTTAGCCCAGAATGTATAACTGATATGCACCGGTTGGCAAGGTTTGATCCACTTTTAACAGTCCGTTGACTAATGGACGAGCTCCACACAACACTTCTTAAGAATAAGAGAATTATATTTTTGGCATTCGATCAAGTGTTTTCTATTTAGAACCAATTAGATTTTTGGTCCCTTTGTACTTGTGTTAAAAAAACGGGAAGCAAAGGGACCGAATCTTAAAGAAAGATAGTCAAATGGACCATATCTTAAACAAAGTAGCAACTACAAGGACCAAAACTATAATTAGTAACTATTGTAAATAGGGAGTAGACTTGATAGTGAATAATAACTACAAGGACCAAAAGTGTAATTTCCTGTAAAAATAAATTTGGCTTAACCCGTCTACTACCTGGTGCTTCAAAACCAGTCATTTATACAATATCTGATAACAAATGATTGGTTATAACCGGTGCCAATCACACAGGTCGGGTTAAAGTAAAAATGGAATAAATTTTTACAAGACTTGAATTAATTTACTGATTTCCCATTTGTTTACTTCTTAAAGTTTCTTATCGAATGAATCTGTTGTTGGGTAAGATGTGATGTTGTTTACCAAACTCTGTTTTGCTTCTTACCAAATCAGTGATTGATTACCAACCAAATCGTTGCTTACTGAATCAGCAATGTTAAAACCACGTGTTGCAATACTAAAGGGGTGTTTGGTTTGCAGAATGATTTTTGAAGGAATGAAATCGGTCAAAAGAATTCGAATTTGGAAGAAATTAGAAAGAAATGTTATCAGGTTTGACCAAGTGTTTGGTTGGGAGGAATGAAATGTAATATGTCTAATGAATTGGAATCTGCCTGTTTGGTTTACAACAGATGGAATGATGAAAAAGGACAAAGATACCCTCTCTTTGATATTTTTTTTTAAAATTAAATTTTTTTAAATTACAAATAACAATAAAATTAACATTTGATGAGGAAAACAGACATAAATGAGTACAAAGCAATGTTCGATTAAACACATACATTCATCTTGTGGGATATATACAAAGCAGTACAGGAAGCGATTGGTAGAAGCAGTTGATAGAATGAAAGCAGTATTCGAGTAAATCAGAATCGAAGCAGTCAGGTTTGTAACAGCAATCGAAGCAGTCTTTGATAGGTTGTAACAGAAATCGAAGCAGGTTCGTAGTAGTAGGTAGAATGGAATCATTGTTTGATTAAATCAGAAATCGAAGCAGTCAGGTTTGTAACAAAAATCGAAGCAATCTTTGATAGGTTGTAACATAAATTAAAGCAGGTTTGTAACATAAATCGAAACAGGTGTGTAGTAGTAGTAGCAGTTCATTGATAGGAAGCGATTGGAGTAACAAAAAGCAGTAACAGGTTTGAGAAATCGACCTGCAGTGTTCGATCGAGAAGATGACAACGTTCTTTGATAGGAAGAGATTGATGGAGCGGCTAGGGTTATAAAAGTCTAATGAGGGTATTTTTGTCATTTACAAAATTTTGGATCGAATGGATTTTAATTCCATCAATTCCATGAAGGAATGGTTAAATCCTCAAATGATGGAATCATTTCAATTCCATTTAATTGGTAACAGATGTTGGAATGAAATTTGGTCAACAGAATTGACCATTTCAATTGCATCAGATTCCGACGAACCAAACGTCCTCTAAAGGGTTTTTTACTAAACACTTACTGCATCTTATCGAGTAACTAAGTATTGATCAACACTTACGGGATAAGAGACACTTATCGGGTAAAAGATGATGTGTTTTTACCAACAATCTTACTGCAGTATTTTGCTAACCGGAAATCTTACCCAGTGAGATAAACTTATAATTTGTTATTTTGATGAACAATAATCTTACCCAATAAGATAAGTAAAAGTGATATTTTTATGGTGTTACCCGGTAACCACTTACCAAGTTTGTGTTGGTAAGCAGCCCATAAGATTATAGCATAATCAGCTTACGTGGTGATTTCTTACAACAAAATTTGGTTCAGATGAGATGTAGTAAGGAACATTTTGATATTTTACTTAGGGGCTGTTCGATTGCGGCTTAATGGATTGTATAAGCCATATGGCTTATTCGCACAGTCATATCTGGTTGTTCGGTATGGGCTTATTCAGTCAGCCCATGGCTGAACCACTCAGCTACAAAAACTATGTCCTTTGTATTCAGCTGTTAACTTTCCTCAACTACCCCTCTCCCAACCCCTCCATAGCCACTCCTCCCTCAAGAAGCTTTAGTTTTATTTCTATCGGAGATGCAGCAGAATTTGACTCAAATTTCGTCATCTCTCATTATATTTCAACTTATCGTAACCCTTTCCAACTTCCGTCTCAAATCTCTTCGCTCCAATGGCGTCTGCTCTCAAGATGGGAAACAAGATCAGCCAAATCATCAGCCTCAAGCAGGTCATGCAACCGGGGGATTAGTACTCTCTGCGATGTGATTTTCCGCAAGAGGTTGTTGAAGGCTTTGGAGAGAAACGAGAGAGAATTTGGTTCGCTGGATTTAGACGATTTCATGGCGATGTGATTTTCCGATCCGACGATCAATTCCTGTGCCTGAAATGGGTAAATCAATTTCTAATTGTGCCTTAAATGCTCCTGCCTCATACTGCCTTCGATTGCTACTGCTCCATCCTGCCTTTTTGTTCGATTTCTAACTGTTCCTGAAATGGGGAAATCGACCTTTCTGTTCGATTTCTATTTGTACTTTGATTCCTGCCTTTCTGTTCGATTGGCTTATGTTTCTGATTTCTCACTGTGCTACCATGTTTTGAACAAAAGAACCAAACATATAGGCTGTTCATTTGAAACAGGAACAAAAGAAGAACCAAACTCTGTTAAAAAGTTGTTTTTATTTAAAAAAAACTTTTACATTGATATTTTTTTATAATTATAAGTCATTTGTTCAACATTTTTATCAATCTGTTGTTTTATTCAAACAAAAATAAAAACTAGGGTAAAATAGTCATTTCTGACATTCAGATTGTTTATTCAGCACAACAACCGAACAACAACTTATCTGTTAATATACAGACAACTATATCCATATAGGTCTTAACAAAAAACGAACCGAATAGCCTCTTAATTTCTCTATGTATGAAAGATGATGGCCAATATTTATAACTCAAAGAAATCCAAGATTGAATGAAAACAAAACCACTGTACTCCGTAGCACTTCTCCTTTTTGGTCAAAACACCGATTATAGGAAACTATGCTCATCATTTTTCGGAGTCTTTAACCGCTAATCTATGATCAGAGCTCATGATCTTTCGGTCACAAACCAGTAAGGTAAGATAAAAGCTTGAGTTAGAAAAAAGATGATATCAGAACTTGAAATGCAACATATTCTGTCAACCCCATTTAAGAAGCAAATGATCACCAAAACAAGATCTGAGAACTTATATTTGAAGCATAAAACTCAAATTATTACACAAACATTGTATTGTAGCTCCACCTCAAACTAAATGCTTAAAAACAGTACCTTTAAAATGGGATCATCTTGATTTAATACTCTCCACAAATCCACTGCTCAGAAGTCTCTCCACATACTTCCCCAATATATCCACTTCCAAATTCACCTTCTGCCCAACTTTCTTCAATGGAATCACGACTTTCTGCTGTGTATACTCAACCAACATGAAGTTAAAACACTCCTCTTCGTCAAACACCTTCACGACGGTCAAACTAGTCCCATCCACCGCAATGAACCCCTTTGGCACGATAAATTTCAATATCTCTGGTGATGTTTTCACCTTAATCCACAAAGAATCTCCTTCTGGTTCCATCGAAACAATCTCCCCTGTACCATCCACATGACCCTGCACGAAATGGCCTCCCATTCGGGTTGAGGGTTTCACAGCTCTCTCCAAATTGACAACTGAACCTTGTTCCAGTTCGATTAATGAGGTTTTTCTTAAAGTCTCAGGAGCCAGCCCGACTTTGAATTCCAATCGTTGGGGGTCGAATTCTGTGACTGTTAAACAAGTGCCATTTACGGCTATGCTGTCGCCAAGGTTGACATCTTCAAGTACGGTTGGTGAATGGATTATCATGTCGAATGATTCACCGGATTCATCAAAGCCCAGTTGCCTGACTTGTCCCATTTCTTCGACGATTCCAGTGAAGAGGGATTTTATCTGGGTTGGTTGGTGGGAATTTAGGGTGAGTGATTTGTGCGCGTGGGATTTGAAGAGGAGAGAGAGGGGGAGTTTAGATTTGAGATTTGTGGAGGGGGTTAATCTAAGGGGGTTGTGGGTTCTGTTGAGGTGATTGTAAACTGGGATGGAGGTTGGTGTTCTAATTAGAGTTTTAGAGATTGATATACCAGCGAGTGATGAAATCGCCATTGGTGAATGAGTAAGGGTTGAACAAGTAACCATACCTTCACAAAATAGATAAAGACAAAGATAGCTTGCTTCTTCAGTTTCCTCTGTTTGTGTTCTTCCTTCTCAGATCATGGATCCTGTAAGCACAAGCATCATGAGCAACCAAAGACAAATATTCTAAACAATTGATTCATCTTCATTAATTTGGTTTCAATCAATGTTAGTTAATTCATCAAAGATCCAAACAAGCATAAATCAAAGTGAGTAACCACTTGATCGCATAAATCAATTTTCCAATAAGAATGAAAATTCAAACAAATACAGATGCTTGATTGAAAGATATAAGGTGATCGCCAACACAACCAGAGAAGTGGAGAAGAAGCAGCTGAGCAGGCGGTGGTGGTCGAGTGGTGAGGTAATCCAGTTAGGTTAGGGATCCATGGACATCGACTTTGTTGTCTTGGGCTTCACTTCAACATATTTGTATATTATTAAAATAATGGGCTCTTTCCGCGCACCCTGGGCCTCAACCTCAAGTAACTCCATCACTGGCCTGGTTCAATTTCTTGTTGCTTCAGCGGCCTACATACTCCCTCCCAATTCCCAAATGTATTCATGAACAATTTTGTTCTGGTGATCAAATTGTAGGGGTTGATACAACTATTTGAAACAATACATAGTTGCAAAGATAATATAATTTGGTATTTGTATCACATTCACCGAGAGAGAAAGAGAGACAGGTTGAAGCTGAAGGGATCTAAATTGGGTGGAAAGTGATGAAGATGTGGGGTTCGTTCATACTGTGTCAAATCGGAGACCGAGAGAGATGGTGAGACCGACTGTATTTTGGATAGGATAGGGTTAATATTGGAACAAGAGCCTTTCTTTGTCTCTGCTCACTGCTCACCAAATAGCCATTATATTTTTGGGTATGCATAGATAGATGGGTAGATATACACATTCATTTTTTATATTTCAATATATGATTCACCTAATATATACATATACATATATGGAATGTTTCAAATGTAACTCATCACATATACATAACTTAATCAATTGAGATATTTATAGAAATAATGAGAATTTATTTATTATGATTTAAATATTTATGAAAGATAACTAGGTTTTATTAATTATGATCAATACTTTATATTAAAATACAATCTAAAATTTTATGAAATCACATATTCATCAAATTAAATGGATGGTTGAGATTGAATTGTATTGATTGTACAAATGTAAAATGTTGCATAATAACTCATATATATATATATATATATATATAGGGGTTGGTTCAAATACTAACCAAAATTTTTGTATTAACTTTGTTAACTAAGCTCAACCAATCATATTCCATCTTTTCTTTAGGTTCACATATAACTCATATATTAATGACATGGGTAATTAAGTAATTTGTCATTTATGTAACTCCCAAATCATTAATTGGGAGTTACAAATCTAAAAAACTCAATAATTGATGATTATGTAATATTGATATTTTTTTTATACGTGTTCATGTTTTGTAATTTCGATTTATTCTATCCATAATGATATTGATTTTGTAATTGTTAAAGAATTTCCGATTGTAAAGATTTCAATATCGTCCGAGCAATATGGATAAACCTATTGGAAAACAGATCGACAATAATGAGAATGAAAAGGTTAAAATCGTCTATTACTACAATCGAAATTCGAATTCATATGTAATTGTTAAAGAATTGTTCACAAGTGTTCATATTGTCTTCATATGTACACTAGCTGCATATCTCAACATTGGCTTGCTCCTGAATGTGTTCATAATGAAGGAACTATTGTTCACAAACTGTTCATATTGTGCTCATATATACACTAGATGCATATCTCAACATTGGTTTGCTCCTGAATGTGTTCATAATGAAAGAACTATTGTTCACAAACTGTTCATATTATGTTCATACCTGTTTTTTTATTTACTTTCGTGTAGCAATTATTCTTATTATATTCATATTGTGTTCATAAATGCTATACAGTTCAAGTTCATATATATGTCAATTTTTGTTCGTATTTGACACAATGATTCATATATATATATATATATATATATGTGTGTGTTCATATGGTTCTTACATTAACAAAAATAAATTAATAAAAATAATGAGATTTTTTGATTTTGTAACTCCCAATTAATGATATGGGAGTTACATAAAAAAAATTACCTAAATACCCTTTTCCCCTTTGTTCACATATGTTCTTTGAAATTATAAATTTAAAAAATTATTTTTTTATCATGATTAATCACAACTCTTTATTGTAATAATCAATGGCCAAGATTGGTTAACAAAGTTAACACAAAAATCTT